GCTAAAGTTGGTCAGGTAGATAAGATATATTTCATTCTTCTCTCTATTGTGACGCTCCACGTGGGGAGCAAAGGAGGTGGCAAGGGGGAACAACTCTTGCCCATCGATGTCTCACACTCGCTGGTGCATCCAATTCTAAGCATTCATCTATTGGATTGTATGTGAGATCATGAAAGTCAGATTTGTGAATTGGGGTGGAGTGTATCTAGAAGATTAAGGTGAAAACAATAGGAACTGTCCACTATCATCCAAGGTCCAACATCACAGCAAGCATCACGCAACACACTGAGCACATCAGGCTATAACCCAGGAAGCGGAAATGAAGTCCCACAGAAAGGTGAATGGGGTGTGGTCAGTCAGGAATGCACAACACACATCACGACGGGACGAGGAGTGGGCGCTGGTGTGTGGCTTCCTGCTTGTGTCCACACACACACACACACACACACACACACACACACTTACCATAAACTGTGCTCCATCTATGCTGCTCTTTGTCACTACTCTGTCACAGCCTGGCAGTTTAAGCTGAGAGGAGAGTGAAGCTTTAAGCACATTTAAACCATGCAAGTTTTCTTGTTTGTTTGTTGTTTCCTTAAATTAGCGTGAAATGCTACTTTTTAGATAAGGTGTTACCAACTAAAACAAGGCGTGAATGAAAAAGCAGGAAATATATCTTTTTCTTGGTTAAAAAGTGAGCTTTTGTTTTTGCAAATTATACAGTCGCGCTTATCAGATGTTCATAAATAATGTTAATCAAGAGACTACAGTACTTGGAAGGTATAAACATCTCTACTTTCACCTTCAAACTAGTTTTAATACTCACCTTCCGCATGTAGTCCGCTAGAGTTTGGGGATTCCATCCCATCACCTCTGCTTTTGAGGGAACGTTAGAAAAATTCATTCTTGTCTGTTGTGAATGATAACTTACACTTGATAACACAGTGACTTTACTTGCCAGCCATCATCTTACTCATCACTGTGAAATGATCGGTCTAAAATTACCCCTGCTTAAGCACACTTTAAGGCCACACTTTAAGAATGCGTGTGTTTTTTTTTTTATACTCTCTCACCTATTGTGTAAGAGAGTAAAAGGCTTCTGTGGTCAGAAAGCTATGAATAGAGCATGCATGCACTTCAAATGGTCGATCTGTAAACACAGAGGCTGTTGATTTCATTTCTAACACATGGTTAAGTCTGCTCAAAGTTGATTGTCAATTTTTAATGGACAGCAGACTTGCAAACTGAAATGCAAACTCGGGATAAATACTGATGCTTGGATTGTAGATGTTGCGTCTCACATTGTGAGTTAGGGTTTTTATGAGTTATAGAGAAGTAATAAGGCAGCACAAGGAAGAAGAACAACCCAAGACTACACTACACACACACACGCACACACAGCACACACACACACAGACACACACACACACACACACGCACAGACACACACACACACACACACACACACACACACACGCACACACTATTCAGGTCAATTGGTTGTGCTCCGGTCGTGGAGTCTTCTCTCTTTTCCACCTGGCAGCTGGGGCCTGTTGAGCAATCGTCCTCTTGGGGTTTCAAGAATCGAATGTCAACCTCAAGTGATCCACCGGCAAGACTGGAGGTGGAGGGTGGCGGAAGGAAAAATTCATACACCCTGGTGATAGAGGAGGGCAGCAATGACAAGGGGTGATCAATCACGCTCTGACCCCCCTGAGCCACTCTGGGAGAATACACAAGTTCCCCTGGGGGGTCCTTGTGGCAGAACCCCCTACCTCTGTTTTCTTCTTTTATCCTGAATTGGAAACATACCCCTGTGACATGTAACTGCCACCAAATGTGGTATAAATAATAAAAAGTGATGGGTCAATGTAAGTTCTTCCTTAAAAAAAATATTCCTTTACTGAGTCTAAAATGTTTGAAATGCTAAAATCATAAAACTCCTGAAAGATAAATAAATGCAGTTTAGTGGGTGAAAAAAATGTCGAATGCAGGGTCTGCTCAGGGGCATCTCACTTGTAGAGTGAATCCAAGCACAGCTGAGCATCATATGGGAACAATATGGCACCAGTAATGTATTCACTGGAGAGTAGAGATAAAGCGTGAGGGCCTCCAGTGGGGCAAAACCTTCATTAACGCACAGCAGGACAGCATGGGAAATACGGGACATCCCTGGAGGGGAAACAGACAAATGGGAAGTGTGGGAGGGAGCGTTTCAGGTCGGTGAGAGTGTTATTTGTTTGCTTCTGCAGCCAGGAATTTAACTTGATGTTATGCTTCTTTGATCCTTGGTTGTGTTAAAACCCAATTTTGTCCCCAAACAGTACATAAGCTAACAGTAGTCTGTTTATTTGTAGAATTGTGTAACTATTTGTCACAGTGTTTGTGCTTAGATTTAATATGACATGCCTAATTTCACATTGCAAACATGGGTGAAAACTGAAAAAGTGGAATGCATTCGCTGTTTTGCCCCAGGTCTCGGGGCTTTATGATGTAGAGACACCAGATAGTCTGATAATTCATGTCAGAATTTCTCACTTATCTCTGTTTTTTTTATTGGTGCAACAGTAACTGGTCTGTAAAGATAGTGAAACAGACCTGTCACCAGACCCATAACTGTTAACATTCCCTCCCCCTACGCCTTCCCCTCCAGCCATGGGCCCCCTGAAGAAGGTAATATCCATGATTAGGTCAATGCTTAAGGGCCTGGAAATCCATGGTGAAGCCAGATTTTTGATGCACACTTGCCCAGAATGAGAGGCATAGGAGGAGGATAGAGCATGGTGGAGGAGGTACGGAGAGGGAAAAATCCGGACAGCCAGCAGAGGGGAACTACTACTAAGATACATAATAACAAACCTAAATATACTAACTGTCAAAGTAAGATTAGAAATCGGATCTGTGCTTCTCTCGGGGAAAACAAGTGAGTCCATGGCTTTTTATATAATTGGTACTGGAATTGGCTATTATACTCATGAGGAAGATTTGCAAGTCAGGTGAAACGGAGGGAACAAACACACCCCACCTCTCTATGTACGCTTATTGGTGTCCAGCACGCGCGACGATAGCTTTGTATTTTCCAATTTTTGGCAATGGGAAACAAGACTGAGCCGAATGGGCAAATTGGTGTCATGCATCTGCCGATTTACTAAAAACTCCAAAGCTACACTGTATACTTGAATGGTTATATACAGCTCGTCTTATCCAACTAAATTTGTCTTTTCAGAACTTAGGAAACTGTTTGGAGCTCTTTGTAAATAAATAAATCATCGCCACATTGACGGAATAACGAAGAGTGGTGGCGGATAAACGGCTTGTGGTGAGAGTGCGATCACGGCGTCGGATGGTGGGAGTAGAGGTCTGGCGCACGATGTTTAGTCCCTAGGTATCCCAAATTCCTTAACATATCGGCAATTTGCAGGGTTGATTCTTTTGATTGTGTGCGGTTGCGGGCGGGGTGTCTGCAGAAAAACTCTGGGTGGGCCACCTCTAGTTTAGTTCGTAGAAGAGGAAGGGGAACTGATAAATGTTGTTATGGGAGTTAACAAGATATGTTATGAAGTATTTTTATTTACAATTTGTTATATTTTAATTTGTAACAGCAATGTCGCTTGTATATGTATAAGATAGGGACACCGGCAGGATATTATACTAGGGCGGGAAAGTGGGGGGAGAAAAGGCGGGAGAGACAAGAGCAATTACATAAAACGAAGGTCGTTTGTCATTTGGGGTCCACGATCCTCTTCGTTTTCCAATCTCCCGAACGGGTGCCGAATTACCTGCGCTCCGTCAAACACAACGTGCGGTGCGTTTTTCGGTAATGTTGACGTGGCCTCGCTAGTCGCTGGGCAGCTGCACATTAGCCAGGGGCAGCCAGTTGGAATTTGGCAGTTTGGAACGAGCGTATGTTGAAAGGCCCTATCACCGCCTGATTGCCGTCGGCGCTTTTTCTTTCCACTCTCAGTGCGCACACTCGTCAAGAAAAGCGGCGAAGATAACAGCAACTGGCAGGGCATGGCTCCCGTTTTCTTTATTCCCGCTTGGGTCAAGCCCTGGTCCGGGTCGGCAGACACCCCTGCCGGTCTCGTCGGTTTGGCGCGCGTGCGCACCACCCAAGCTGGAGGCGTTCAACGTCTGTTCACGCCTTTGCAGGGTAGTCTGAGAGTCTCGTGGTGAAGGGGTAGGTATTTATGGGAGGCTTGCTCTCTTGAACTGGTGGCTCTATGGGCTTCGCCATTGCACTCCCCATCGGTGCGAAGTCGGCGGTCATGATGGCACCTTTTGGATATCCGCGCTGTTACCGGGGTTTCATCCGCTTTGGCGCTTTCTCGGGGTCGATGTCCAGCTTTTTGGCCAAAGCCGTGGGAGTCCGGCGGGGGTACTTGGATGCCCATGCAAGTCAACTTGGACACGCAAAGACAGGGGCTCTGGAAATCGGGCCCAAGCAGCTGATCGTCCGCAGCAGCGCTCCCTTCTGATACTCCGCCAAGACACTCTCTCCATGTCACATTCGCGTGCGCAGTCCTTATGCCACGGATACGCGTGGGAATCCCAACTGGCCGTCTTTCACGAAGGCGTTCCCGGAGGCCGGGGAACGCTCGTTGAGGAGAAAACTCACTAAAGGTTCTGTTTATACATCCGGGCTTCGCTAGGCATGTGCGTCCTGGGTCTGCCCTCTTGAGGCGGCGTTTGGCTGGATGGAAGGGTAGGTAATGCGATAGTTCCGCGGTTGGTTCTGTGTATCGAGAAAACAAATCTCACTACCAAACTTGCGGAGGACCAGACCTCGTATGTTCAGTCCGGGGAGCGATGTGACGAGAGGCAAGGCCCTAAGAGCTCCCTGAACGGCCGTCTCTTCCGCATTCCACGTGACTCTTGTGGGAGAAGCTAACCTTACCTCTTGCGAAGAGCGTATCACACGCAGTTAGGCCCTCGAGACACAGCCACCAGCCCTAGCGAGCTAACATCTTTCGATGTGGAGCAGCCAGCACAACCATCCGCGACCGCCTGCACGACACAGTTTTGAATACTTAAAGATCATTAATTAAGAACTTGCATGTTGACAAATGGCGCTGTACGTTGACTCACCAAGCTTTCCGTTCTTTGAACCATCGCAGCCACAGTTTTCGAGTTCACCAAGACTGCAGTTCCTGGTCAGAGTGTACATGACCCCTGCTGAACTGATAGCATGAACGAAAGCCGTTTCTCTGGTGGCTGAATGAGAGGAAACATACAAGGTCTACTGCCACAGCCTCTTATAGGAGAATACATAACCAGCATTGACTAATAACGTGTAGAATGTTGCATTGTTTTTATTATAACTCTGTGATAATCAAGGCCACACTACAAAGGTACAAAGAAAAATAAAGTGGTATAAAGGTCAACATGTCCAAAGGTCACCAACTAAATCAGCATCAAAAACATGAAAAATAGATCCACATCCATGGGTGTGCGTGTGCATATTCAAGCACGGGTAAAAGAGTATTTTAAAGACAGGTCTGGCCAGGCGCGTAGCAGAGATTGCAACAAGTCTAACAATAGTTCTGTAAAGATATTTTAATTGATTTAATTGCTTTAATTAACACATAAAAAGCATAGAAACACTGGAAATTAATTTTTGGCAAGAAAATCTGGGAAAACCAATCATTTGGTTGGAAATGCCGAATAAAACTTGAGGCTCAATAGAAAAACAATAACTACCTCGTTTCAGTCCTTTAAGCTGGGTTGCGCTGTCGGGGCAGTTCCATCTATCCCAGGCAAACTGGCGTTTGCACTCCTGGACGCCAATCTGTGTGCCCACCTGCACGCTCTTTGCGTAGGTGAGATAGTCCTGCAGAAGAGGCAGTGACAGTCTGTCCTTTATTTTGTTTTTATTACATTTGAAATGTGGAAAAAAAAATGTTGCCACAATAAAAGCAATCAAATATATATGTATATATACCTTTGACCCCGTCATCAGAAAATTGCTTGCGACCCTGAGAACAATAATAATAATGATAATAATAATAATAAAAGTCATATAATTCTGTCTTCTGTTCACTTATTTTAAAGCATGCATGCAACTAGTGTATACATGTCTTACCAAGCGTATCCAGGATTGATTCTACACGAAACAAACAGCAGCCAAAAAATTGATTGCGCCATCTTCACCTATCCCGTTGTCGTTATCCTGCTTATAGAGATGTAGGTATTTTGACCCCGTGTGCTGCAGCTTTGTCCTTTACTTGACTGAGGACCAAATAAGTCTTCTTCTTTGTCTTAGAGACCCGAGAAAGCTGATTGGGTGACTGGTTCAGGAGACGCCTATTCGCACTTCAAAGGTTGGCATTAGGAAGTAATTTATTTACTTCCCAAAGACTGTATGACACCAAGGCACCCGCATATAAGACTAAAAGACTCAGAATTTTACCACCGACAAACTGGGAGGCAGTTACGTGTATTGTATAAAAATATTTATTATTTTAAATAATTATTAGGTAGACTTTTAAATATTAAACCAATTTCAGTAGTAACACTTGATAAACAGCGAACAAACATCCTCGGAACTCCCAAGTTCCCAACACTGCTACTGTTGCTCCAATGCTTGGAGATTTTGATCCACAAGACAAAATTTGACCTAAACACACTCTATTCAAAACTAAAGGGGGGAAAGATGCTTTAAAGGACTAAAGCTAAAAAATTTAAAATAACATTCATGTGATGCAGAATAATTTCTCATGTAGGTCGTAAATATAAAACTGGTTAATATGATGAAAGTCATATTTATCGAATAATGTGAAGAGTTCAAATTTTGCAAGAGATCCCAGTCATCGTTGATGCGCACTGTTCCTGCCTTTTTTGTTCTTTTTCCTCCCACTTTTGTGCGCGCAAAAGTATTTGGCTACAACTCGCTTGCATTTTTCACACTTGACTGTGCAACACCAGTGAAATTTGCAGTTGCAGCTGGTGAAAACCTCTGTGCGCTTCTTCACCACTTTTAGGCCGCATTCATTGCACAATCTGCGGCAGCTATTTTTCTCCCACTCGGACATGTTCTTGTCCTCCTTAAAGCACCTCTGTGCGCTAAATCTCTCCCACCAGAACCACATCAATCTAGCAAAACACATCACTTAGAGTATAGTGAAGATCGGGCCTTGCCATATGTTGCACAATCGCGCGCGGCAACTATTTTTCCCCAGCCATGCGGAAAGCACATCGCTTTCTCTGTCCCTCCCTTACAACAGCACTCCGTCCCTTCGGCGGTTAGCCGCTAGAGGGAAGTCGAGGGTCCTGCGTGGTTCTCTTATAGGGAACCAAGATAAATATTGTGAGAGAAAGACTCTCAGCAGTAACGCGGGAGGATCAAGGATGTGGAGCGGGAGACGCTCACAACACGTGGTCGGAAGAGGCCGCACGGGGCACACTCTCAACCAGGAACGGGCGGATCGCGGTAGTGCTCCGAACCCTCTGAGTCTTGGCCACCGGCATGCTGGACTACCCTCAAGCTCGCCGGGACTTGTCTATTTACCTCTGTCCATTTTCCAGGTTCCTTTTTGGTCGCTATGTTTGGAACGTCAGTCTTGGATAACGTAAGTTGCGCCACATCTTCGCGTGGCGAAATCGGCGGTAGGCACACTGAGTGGCTCGAAAGTACAAGGACAGCCTTTTGGCCAATCTGTGTAGCAGCTTCAGATACCTCCCCTGACATTGCAGGCTTTCCTCGATGGGTTGCTTGTGATGTCAATGCCATGTCCGAGAGTCACCAAAAGACGGGTACCCAACAAATACCGAGAGCGCAGACAAAGGCGCCAAACGAGATAACAGAACGATCTCGGGTTATTTGTCACTTTTCTACTACGCAAGTCCACAAAAGACACCACTGGTATGAAACACGAATCTGGGACTGGAAATGAAGAAACAAAAACTCCGTCACATTAATTTGTCAAAGATCAAATCTTAACCCAGTCTGGGCCTGGCCTCTGGATATGTTATCACTTGGCACAAGTTAGGAGCCCGAGGCTAGGCACGGACGCAGCTGGGATGTACTATGCCCATCGTTCTCGCGTCATCGGGGTCCCGACAACTGTTTGGCACGATCTTCTCCCCAAGAAGCCAAGCATTAGTTCTGCACTGAGGAGGACTCTCCTCCCCAAAAATCCACCCTACACCGCGGCCATGTATAGACATGATATATGCACATGACGTTCCACTCTTAGTAATCTCCTTGGTAAGAAATAACAGAGGGCCTAATTCTAGGAATCGCTTACTGTAACCGGCGGATACGATATAGCACTCATCCGGACGAGGGAGGGATACTATCCTATTGTGGTCTTCACAGCACACGCGGGGCTGGTCCAAATTTTGGGAGTCAATGCCAGCAGCCGCAAGTTGTCAAAGTCCCCAGCCGTCACAGTGTGCTCTAAGGATGAGACCTGTGTCTAATCCACAACGTGGAGGTCTGAGGAGTGTGTCCCTGTAGTTGAGAAACCCTCTCCGGGCAGCGCCGCGTCTCGCGATTGCATTAGGATCGAAAGAAAGATGTGGCGCGTAATCGGCGCGCTACCAATAAATAACAAACAAAGAAATCCGGATTTTTTTACTTGGATATCCAGTTTGGCACGAATAATGCGTAACTGATGAGTTCTAGTTTTGTGCGTGAAAAGCACTTTACGCACAGGCGCTTCAAGATTGCTGTCAAAAAAGCGCACGACCTCACTAATTTTAGTTGCCATAGATTTGATTCAAAAAGAGTTCTTACCACTCCGCATGCCGTTGTGTGGGGACAAAGAAAGCGTGTTCTCTGGACAGTTCCACTTCTCCAAAGCGAATTGGCGTTTACACTCTTGTATCCCACTCTGTGCGCCCACTCGTACGCTGCTGGCATAGGTCAGATAGGCCTTGGATGAGAAAGGAAAGGAAGTTATGAATATTAATGTTAGTGCTAATTACATAGAATTTGGCTGGAAGGAACAGCTTTTACGCAACACTCATTCTTAAAATCTTAAATGGTATTACCTTAGGTCCAGTCATCAAGAAATTATTCATGGTCCTGTTGAGGGGAAAAAAGATAGCTATGTTAAACAAGCTGTAAGTTATTTTACCAATTGCAAACCCATAGAAACTATAGAGTGTCCAAAGTGTCTCTATTGTTGGGGCCGTTGGAGGTGTGAAGGCTGCCTGATGGCTCGTCAAAACGGCAGTAAAAGTCGTTGAGGGTGTTGGCCAAGAAGAAGTTGTCGGCAGAGTCGTTCTCTGAGATCTGCTGCTGCATCTTCTCAGAGTGCTGATGTTTAGCAATGTCCACTTCTTTAGTGAACCTGTACTTGGCCTCTCTGTAGCAGTCCCTGTCTCCGCTTCTGAACGCCTTTCTCTTTTCCAGCCACAGCTTTTTGAGTTTAGGAGTAAACCAGGGTTTGTCATTGTTATAACTCACCCTGGTGCGTGATGGCACAATGCTGTCCTCACAGAAGTGGATATAGGAGGTGACAGTGTCCGTAAACTCGTCCAAGCTGTTAGAAGCAGCCTTCATTGTGTCCCAGTCTGTAGACTCCAAACACGTGCGAAGCTCCTCCACAGCCTCGTTGCTCCACAGTTTTTTGTCCTCACGACAGGTTTGGAGAGCTTCAGCCTCTGTCTGTACGCGGGGATTAGGTGGATCATGACGTGGTCAGAAAGTCCGAGTGAAGCGCGGGGCACCGCACGATAGGCCCCGCTGATCGTGCTGTAACAGTGGTCTAATGTCCTCTCCTCTCTGGTCGGGCATTTAATATACTGCTTGTATTTGGGAAGCTCATGGCTCAGATTGGCTTTGTTAAAGTCCCCAAGAGCAATGATGAGAGAGTCCGGGAATGTCCGCTCCATGTGGAGTATCTGCTCCGCGAGTGCGCACTGAGCTGCCTGCGCATCCGCGTCTGGCGGGATGTAAACAGCGGCCAGGATGAATGAAGCAAACTCCCGCGGAGAATAAAACGGTTTGCAGTGAATAAAAAGGTATTCCAGAGAGGAAGAGCAGTGCTGAGCAATCACTGTTACATCTGTGCACCAGCCACTATTAATGTAGAAGCAGACACCTCCACCTTTGGTCTTACCAGAGAGAGAGGCCTGCCGGTCCGCGCGCAGCAGATGAAAGCCCTCCAGCTTGAGCGCGCAGTCCGGGATGTCCTCACTGAGCCACGACTCCGTAAAACATAAGACACAGGAGGAGGCAAAGTCTCTGTTCATGCTTCTCATCAGGGCCAGTTCGTCTATCTTATTCCTGAGTGAGCGTACATTGGAAAGGAAGATCCCAGGAAGAGCAGTTCGCAGTCCGCGTCTCCTCAGACGCACGAGTGCGCCGGCTCGCTTCCCTCTCTTTCGGCGTCTCACTTTCCTGATCAGAGTCTGCAGTAAATCTGCCGCAGATGCGACAAATATTGGAAATAGATCCACAGGTGTTGTAGTCCTGTAGTTAAGAAGCTCTTCTCTGGTGTAAGAATATCCAGAGGAGTGCCCAGACACAGAAGAAATGCACAAAAACAAAACAGAAGTAACGCACCGAAGCACCAGGGCATCCATACGCGGCGCCATCTTGGATATTCAAAAATAGATGCAAGTAAAACACAGCAGAAAATAAATAAAGTCAAAGACTAGCGGTCCTTTTGCTCTATTTTCACCTGTAAAGCAGGAGTAGGGTAGGCGGAGGTTTACCCTGGTGCAGGTGTGCCGCAGCGGTCAGTGGAAGAATCCGCGAGTTTCTCTGTGAATTTCCCATTACGTCGTAGCGCACTCGGTGCTTGCTTGGAAGTTTAGGGGTTTTTTTCGCTGTAAAAAGAAGTTTTCTTCCCACGCACAACGGACACTAATGTTTTTGTCACTTTTTATGGAATCAAACTCAAAGTAAGGTCAGTACTTCCACGCTTTAAACGCTGCACGCTCATACTCTCTCCGCACTCGATATATGATCCATTGTTGATCTGCACACAGCTGTTGTCACAAACGTTGCACTCGCTTACGTCACTGTCATGAGACGCAAAAAAATTACGGTTTTAGTAACGCAGTAATGCAGCGATCCTACGGGAAAGTAACGGTAATCTATAATTATAATAACCACTGCAGCCAATAGGAGTGCCTGACGAGCCCAGTTGTAAGTAAGCTATTAAGACTCGACTGTACACTGTGTTCGTGTTTTCCTCCGAAACAATAAGTTCCGTTGGAGCAGCCTTTCAACGCCTCTCTCTGTCTCAAACTTGACCCAGACAACAAAGTGAAGCCATTTTTCGGCTACGAGCACAACACGGAACCCAATGTATTAGCCAGAAGTCCCTTTACTATGGTTTGGAGCCACGGACCTTCAGTAATAGTAATAAATCACATTCATGTAGTTATAAAAAACATGATAATATATTAAGTAATCCAAAGTATTCAGAACTCCAAAACACATTTCTAGCGTTAACTGAACTTCCAAAACAGAGCTACCTAGATGACTTAAATTACACAATTGAAAGTATATGTGTATTGTTTGTGTTTTTATACACAAG